AACCGCAGACCACGTGTAACCACGCCAGCCCAGGACCTACACATCCGGCATCTTCACCTGCGGGATCGTCTGAGACCAGTCAACTGGACAGCTGATGAAACTGGGGAGTATTTCTGTCTGTAATAAATCCCTTTTGTGGGGAAAAATGAATTTTGATTGGCTGGGCTTTTCTCCCCAGTGGGTGGGCCTGGCTCCGAAGTGGGTGGGCCTATGCCCAGTCATGTGAAATCCATAGATTAGGGCCTAATTTAGTTATTTAAATTGGCTGATCTCCTTATATGAACTGTAACTCAGTAAAATCTTTGTAATTATTGCATGTTGTGTTTATATTTTTGTTCAGTATAATTATATAAATGCATATCAAACAGGAATATATCAATGAAAGTAATGCAGAATATTGATTCCTTTCTCTCTCCTTGCAGGGGATTAGACAGATGAACTGCAGTCACCAGATACCCAAGCCCCAAAACCAGAAACATGTGGAGACATCAACACTTGTAATTTTGAATAAATGTTTTTTTTTTAAGTTTTGTTTTCCTGTATCTGTGCATGAGTCCTTAAAACACAGTCCATTTTACAAAGTAAGTCATTCCCAAGTGAGGGACATTTCAAGGAGATTAACCTCCAACATTCATAAGCTTATTCAGTACATGAGGGCAAATGTAGTCATGAAAGACTTTGGTTGCAAGCAGGACACAGACATCATCTACTGGAAATGTTTAACTATATACATCAAGTCAATCAGGGGTTAGTTATTTGTGCCAGAAGGGCATGGGCCAGAATCAACCCCACACCGACACGATAGGCCTGTATAAGCACACTGGGTGGCCCTAACCGCTAGACCACCCAGGCCACGATTGAACTCAATTCTGACAGTTCATTCGTAACCTTAGGATATACTAGACACTATGTGCTATTAAGCTATATAAAACGACGGTTGTTGATGTGTATAATTGCATTTTTGATATTTTTTTGTACAGTTGAATATAGCAGTAATAGGACCTAGCGTTTGAGCGAGTGAGAGGGAACATTATTTTGATAGCAAATCCTGATCCCAATGACTGGAAAGAGAACTGCTCATTTTGAGCCACTCATGAGGCTCATTTGAATTTCCTGATGCATCAGGAAAATTATTCGTGACAAGAGAACACTGTATTAGAGCTCTCTTTCACCTACAGCTAGCCTATCACTATGTATCTCCCAAAGACACCATCATGAAAAGACTATATATGTCTGCATCCTTCAATTAGCAACAGAAATACACGATATATACAAAAGTATGTGGACAGCCCTTCAAATTAGTGGATTTGGCTATTTCAGCCGCACCCGTTGCTGACAGGTATATAAAATTGAGCACACAGCCATGCAATCTCCATAGACAAACATTGGCAGTAGAATGGCCTTACTGAAGAGCTCAGTGACTTTCAACGTGGCACCGTCATAGGCTGACACCTTTCCAACAAGTCAGTTCGTCAAATTTCTGCCCTGGTTAACTATAAGTGCTGGTATTGTGAAGTGGAAAAGTCTAGGAGCAACAACGGCACAGCCGCGAAGTGGTAGGCCACACAAGCTCACAGAACGGGACCGGCGAGTGCTGAAGAGCATAGCGTGTAAAAATCGTCTGTCCTCGGTTGCAACACTCACTTCCATGGCCGAGCAGCCGCACACAAGCCTAAGATCACCATGCGCAATGCCAAGCATTGGCTGGAGTGGTGTAAAGCTCGCTGCCATTGGACTCTAGAGCAGTGGAAACGCGTTCTCAGGAGTGATGAATCACACTTCCCCATCTGGCAGTCCGACGGACGAATCTGGATTTGGCGGATGCCAGGAGAACGCTACCTGCCCCAATGCATAGCGCCAACTGGAAAGTTTGGTGGAGGAGGAATAATGTTCTGGGGCTGTTTTTCATGGTTCGGGCTAGGCCCTTCAGTTCAAGTGAAGGGAAATCTTAACACTACAGCATACAATGACATTCTAGATGATTCTGTGCTTCCAACTTTGTGGCAACAGTTTGGGGAAGGCCCTTTCCTGTTTCAGCATGACAATGTCCCCGTGCACAAAGCGAGGTCCATACAGAAATGGTTTGTCGAGATCGGTGTGGAAGAACTTAACTGGCCTGCACAGAGCCCTGACCTCAACCCCATTGAACACCTTTTGGATGAATTGGAACGCCAACTGCGAGCCAGGCCTAATCGCCCAACATCAGTGCCCGACCTGACTAATGCTCTTGTGGCTGAATGGAAGCAAGTCCCCGCAGCAATGTTCCAACATCTAGTGGAAATCCTTCCCAGAAGAGTGGAGGCTGTTATAGCAGCAAAGGGGGGACCAACTCCATATTAATGCCCATGATTTTGGAATGAGATGTTCGACGAGTACCACATGACTTTTGGTCATGTAGTGTAGCTGCCTGGCAGCATCATCCTGCTGTAACAAGGGTCGTTTCTACCCCATGTATGAAGGTCATCGGAAAATAATCCCTCTGCTTGCGTGCCTGTGTGTTTCTCTCCAACTCATGGTCATTCAAAGACAAACTGTACAGTTGCACATATGACTAATTCTGGTGACAGATATGCATCATCACTTCATAGAATGTGTGGGTGTGTGTGTGTTCGTGTGTGTGTGTGTGTGTGTGTGTGTGTGGGTGGGTGGGTGGGTGGGCGGGTGCATGCGTAGGCTTGTATAAGCATGTGGGTGTCTGGTGTGTGAGGCTGGTCGCCTGCAGTGAAATATGAGCACCAGCTCCATCATGTCCCTGTGTGTTAATCATGCTCTAATTTATGTGACACTGTGATTACACCACTGGCCAGGCATACAGACCGGCTCTATATTATAGTCTATAATGTATGTTTACACTACTGGCCAGACAAACAGAACAGCTCTATACTAGAGTTTATAATGTATGTTTACATCACTGGCCAGACATACTGAACAGCTCTATACTAGAGTCTATAGTGTATGTTTACACCACTGGCCACCACTGGAACGAATTGCAAAAATCTCTGAAGCTGGAGACTCTTATCACCCTCACTAACTTTAAGCATCAGTTGTCAGAGCACCTTACCGATCACTGCACCTATACACAGCCCATCTGAAATTAGCCCACCCAACTACCTCATCCCTATATTGTTATTTATTTTGCTCTTTTGCACCCCAGTATCTCTATTTGCACATAATCTCTTGCACATCTAGCATTCCAGTGTTAATACTAATTGTAATTATTTTGCACTATAGCCTATTTATTGCCTTACCTCCATAACTTGCTACATTTGCACACACTGTATATATATTTTCTGTTGTATTTTTTGACTTTATGTTTTTTACCCCATATGTAACTCTGTGTTGTTGTTTTTATCGCACTGCTTTGCTTTATCTTGGCCAGGTTGCAGTTGTAAATGAGAACTTGTTCTCAACTGGCTTACCTGGTGAAATAAAGGTGAAATAAAATAAAATAAATAAAACATACAGACAGCTCTATACTAGCGTCAAATCAAATCAAATTTTATTGCCACATGCGCCGAATACAACAGGTGTAGACATTACAGTGAAATGCTTACTTACAGCCCTTAACCAACAGTGCATTTATTTTTAATTCTTTTTTTTTATTTTTTATAAAACAACAACAAAAAAAGTGTTGAGAAAAAAAGAGCAGAAGTAAAATAAAATAACAGTAGGGAGGCTATATATACAGGGGGGTCAGATGGAGTGTATGACAGTTACTGGAACCAAGAACCTAAAGCTAGCCATTGGAACAACAAGGCCAGTCTGGTTTAGTCTTACTGATTTGATAGATTTTGCGATTGGCTCATGTTTCTGTATCATTGTGACAGATATGATCCGGTTTGACGAGTTCAAATGGTATCTATCTGTCAAAAATGTATAATCCATTTGCGCTCACTCTCTTTTGAAAAATGGATGCTCTAGTCAACTAATTGGTCTGAATTTTCATTGAAAAGCGGATTCATTAATTGCGGCAGTGGGTCTTCTTTTGAACCAGCTTAATCTGTCCTACATTTCCTCATCTCTTTGGCACATTGGTTTTCCTCTCTCAAGCTGTATCCCAAATGGCACCCTATTCCCTATGTAGGGCACTACTTTTGACTTGGTCAAAAGTCGTGCCATACATAGGGAATAGAGTGCCATTTGGGATGAACACTCTCTCTGTAGAGGTCACTGAAGCTGGGTTACATAAGGAGCCCATGCCAACAATGTGCTGTTCTGTCTGTCCAGCTCGGCCCTGGGCTCTGTGACTCTGTGGTCCTGCCCAGACTCCACACCAGCATGCCATGGTCACTGTAGTCTACTAACTCTCATTTCCTCACCAACGAGATGCTCTGGGGTATAGTACAAAATATTATCACAGATATTCACAGTGTTCTGTTGTGATAAAGATCCATCAAAGGATTTTAGAGGATTTACATTTAGCTGCCTATTTGAATAGCAGTGATATATACAGATGCACTTCTTAATTTGACCCTGCTTCTCACAGTAGGAAAATAGTCCTGCAGGAACAGGAAATGGGAATTATTATGTGGATTATAATTAATGGAAATTTTTGTAGGCGTTGATACATTTTCCGTTAGGGCAAATCAAGTCTGACATTTGAAAGTGAAAATTACATTATTTGGATGCATTGTTGTAGCTAGATTTTGAAGCTAAAGCCAGTCTGAGTCTGTGGTTCGGTTAATAACACACAATGCTGTTTGTCAGTGGAACATAAAGTGAACTGATATGTCAGATCATTGACGGTTTCAGGCCCTTCATCCCCTCCTCAACGACAACACTGGTCTTTAGTAACTGGGAGTTGCAAATGTCAAGGAACATATGGTAATTTAGTGTTGTGGATATTTGAAAGCCATGAATCATGTTGTCAGCTTCCATCTGAGCACAGTTTCCCATGATTTGAAACAGATATGCTCTCGCTCATGGCTGAAAGCAACACTGGCACTATGAAAGGTTTTTCTACCTGTATTTGATCCTCAGATAAATTCTGGTATTTTTTCATGACATACGGTATTGTGGGTTTTCTAATGTATGTCTGTTTTTGTCTCTCTACAGTGAAAGCAGAAAATAAGGACAAACAAGAGAAGGCCGATTTCTTCCCCAAGATGGATAACTTGAACATGTTTGAGAAGACAGAGAAGACAGAGAAGATGAAGAAGACAGAGAAGACGGAGAAGATGGAGAAAGAAGATCAATCTAAGAAAGTCGACAATGCCGACAAGACAAAAAAATCTGAGAAGATCCTCAAAGATGAAGAGAAGATAGATAAGACAGAGAAAAATGTTAAAAATGAAAAAGTGGACAAGCCAGAGAAGACCAACAAAGATGAGAAGATGGAGAAGAAAGAAAATGGAGAGAAAACGGACAAGATGGTTAAAGTTGAGAAGAATGAAAAGGCTGGGAAAGGTACTGCAAAGTCTCCAACAACCATCGGAAGCAAGCAGGACCTCACCAGCCCAGACAGTAAGGCCAAGGTAGGTCAGGGAAAGGCTGGGACAATGTTACCATTCATTTCAGTGCAAGCTGCTTCTGCAACTGTCAATGCTATCTCGTGTGGTTGTGTGTGTGTGTGTGTGTGTGTGTGTGTGTGTGTGTGTGTGTGTGTGTGTTAGTGTGTGTTTGTATGCACACGCTTATGTGCTATTTCAAATTTAAAAGAGTTATCTAGCCTGCTGCTAGAACTTGCTCTGCTGATGCTCCTGGTTTGATTATGATTTGTGGTTTATAGTGAATGCTGCCTCTGCTGCTTTACCATGCTGTCATTGCCATCTCTTGTATGCTTTGGTTTTCTTATTTTCTCCTTTATCATGTGACGTTGTTGTACAGCCAGCTGTTGGGTCAACCAAACCAAACTCTGCCAAAACACGGCCCACCACTCTGTCCACTGGGGATGCAGCTGCCCCCCCAAAACGTTCCTCCCCCACCTCCAGCTCTGCCAATAAAAAAAGTCCTGTTACCAAGGCAACCACTCCCACTGCTGGCACCAAGCGGCCAACTGCCGCTGCCAGTCAAACCCCTACAGCCACCAAGTCCAAGGTGAGTCCCCTCCCACTCCCACTTCCCTCACTGGTGTCTGTGCTCACTGGCCTTCCCTCTTGTGGTTGGCACCTTGTCCCCGTTCCCTCTGTTTGGCTCTGCTATATAACTGTCCAGTGTCCACCACCTGACTCTCACTCACAGTTTGTGGACCACCAACTCCCTGCACTATAACCTTTGTCTCGTCTCGTCACCATGTAGTCCTACCAACTGAATATTTTCTATCACCTCCCAGAAGATCCCAGCATGCATTTCCAATATCTCCTTTCTGTTTGTAATCTTTACTCCCTTCATTTCTTAATCAATTTCCATTTAGTGTGTTTTGTTTTATCAGGCACCGATCTATCTTTTCCCTCAGCCTTCTCCATCTCCCTTACACCTCTAGTTGCCTCTCCTAACCAACCCTCTCTTTGTCCAGCGCTCTCTTCCACACCACACCCTTCTCTGATTTCCTGTTTGCTTACTCAGACTCCGGAAAACGGCACTTCTGACAGACGTCCTCCTGTGCCAAAGGCCAACGGCACGGCCAATAAGAATAGTTCCTCTACTACCGCCACTACTAAACCTGCAGGTCCACGCCCCTCTGCTAGTGCCCCCTCTCTGCGCCGCAACACAGGTGAGCACTAACTCTGTACAGTGCAAGCTTACATGCTTTAAGGTGCTTTATTCTTGATGATGGTGATATTCAATAAGCCAAAGTCAGAATTCCATGGTTATCCCTAAATTAATACAATGTCCACTAGTCTTAATCATGTAAGGTGAGGTTGGTTATGTTCTATACCCTACAGTTCCCAAGACTGATATCAAGCCAGGTGACGTGAAGAAGCCTAGTACACTGAAGACAACACCAGGTAACAACGAACCAACATGCACAATCTAACCCAAGTATCTCAGTATACAACTAAAATACCCTGGAGTTGAATGTGTTCTTTGAAATTGGAAGGACAGACAAATGTAGTCTGTTATAATCTCTCCTGACAGTGTCATTATGACTACACAGAGAGAGACAAGCACAGTGCGTAAGTGATGCTAGGAGACAGACAGGGATGTAGAGGGAGACAGACACTTAGTCTCAACAGTAGCTCCAGTTCCTGAAAACACTGACTAACACCTCAGGCCTGTCATGTCCTCCTCTGAGATATTCATTAGCCATTGAATCAGAGGCCGCTGACACAGCCTTGGAAAACCCACTACCAGAGACCACAGTATCTACTGTGTGTAGGTAGCAGTAGTGTTGTTCCTTATCCTCTCCCATGGGGACTAGTTATCTTCCAGCCCATTGTTTCCTAGTGAATCATTGTTGTTATTGTTTTATGTGTGGGCTCAGCTCCAGCCCTTAGAGGGTATGGTTCAATGGTTCCTCATGCCCTTTGTCTATTTCTATCACTGCCCCAGCCAAGCCCAAGGTACCTCACACTTCTGCTACTGCTCCAAGCACTCCTGCAACCAACGGGGAGCAGCCTCGCAGACGCATCACCAAACCCCCGGTGCCCAAGCAGACGGCTATGGAGAGGAAGCCACCTGTACCCAGAGCTCCTAGGACTCCCAGGACCATCAACGCACCCCTGCCAGACCTGAAGAATGTGCGCTCCAAGATCGGCTCCACAGACAACATGAAGTATCAGTCTACCGGCGGCAAGGTGCGGTAACATGGGATAGAGATGTACTGTACATGAAAGCTTTGGGAAATAGGTCTATTTAAGAGGACCAACATGAGTCATAGACATTTGTGTATTGACAGGTCTATCGTGCCTTCGATGCTGTCAAATGCCATTCAAAGCAGGGGTTTTGTCACAAGCAAATTCTCATTACACATCATACAAATTCCATATTATCAAAAACCTCCTCACCTCTCCACTGCTACCATATAAAAGGTCTTATACCACCATCTCATTAGTCATTACCGACATTTATGGCTTCCTCAACTAAATAGGGACACAATGCATGCTAACCGTGGAGAAAACGACACTATATATACAAAAGTATGTGGACACCCCTTCACATTAGTGGATTCTGCTATTTCAGCTACACCTGTTGCTGACAGGTGTGTAAAATCGAGCACACCGCCATGCAATCTCCATAGACAAACATTGGCAGTAGAATGGCCTTACTGAAGAGTTCAGTGACTTTTAACGTGGCACCGTCATAGGAGGCCACCTTTCCAACAAGTCAGCCCTGCTAGAGCTGCCCCGGTTAACTATAAGTGCTGTTATTGTGAAGTGGAAAAGTCTAGGAGCAACAACGGCTCAGCCGCAAAGTGGTAGGCCACACAAGCTCACAGAACGGGACCGCCGAGTGCTGAAGTGCGTAACGCGTAAAAATCGTCTGTCCTCAGTTGCAACACTCACTACAGAGTTCCAAACTGTCTCTGGAAGCAACATCAGCACAAGAACTGTTCATCATGAAATGGGTTTCCATGGCCGAGCAGGCGCACACAAGCCTAAGATCACCATGCGCATTGCCAAGCGTCGGCTGGAGTGGTGTAAATATTGCCGCCATTGGAATCTGGAGAAGTGGAAACGCGTTCTCTGGAGTAATGAATCACGCTTCACCATCTGGCAGTCCGATGGACTAATCTGGGTTTGGCGGATGCCAGGAGAACACTACCTGCCCGAATGCATAGTGCCAACTGTAAAATTTGGTGGAGGAGGAATAATGGTCTGGGGTTGTTTTTCATGGTTCGTGCTAGGCCCCTTAGTTCCAGTGAATGGAAATCTTAACGCTACAGCATACAATGACATTCTAGACGATTCTGTGCTTCCAACTTTGTGGCAACAGTTTGGTGAAGGCCCTTTCATGTTTCAGCATGACAATGTCCCTGTGCACAAAGCGAGGTCTATACATAAATGATTTGTCGAGATCGATGTGGAAGAACTTGACTGGCCTGCACAGAGCCTTGACCTCAACACCATCAAACACCTTTGGGATGAATTGGAATGCCGACTGCGAGCCAGACCTAATCGCCCAACATCAGTGCCCGACCTGACTAATGCTCTTGTGGCTGAATGGAAGCATGTCCCTGCAGCAATGTTCCAACATGTAGTGGAAAGCATTCCCAGAAGAGTGGAGGCTGTTATAGCAGCAAAGGGGGGACCAACTCCATATTAATGTCCATGATGTTGGAATGAGGTGTTCAACAAGCAGGTGTCCACATACTTTTTGTCATGTAGGGTATCTGTCTGTCTACTTATGCCTTTCTGTTTCTCTCTCTGTTATCTCCCCTTTGTTTCTCTCTTTTCCTCTCTGTAGCTTTTGGTTTTCTCTCTTATCTCGCTCTCTTTTCTCTCTCTCATCTCTCTACATTACAATTGACAGCTGCCTTCACTCATTTGGCTGACTGATACTGTCACCTGTATTCGTAAGATCACTCTGAAAAGAGAAATGCTTTCATACAGATGACCGTCTTGGAAAATAGCCATCATATTCAGTCTTTACTGATGGCATAGCTAACCTAGAATTGTATGTTTGCATTCTGGCATAGGTTGTGACTGTGTCCATCCACAAAAGGTTACCTGTCACAGTGATGTATGCAAAAGGGAGACTCCACAGAAACAAATTCTCAACACATTGTTTCAGAAACAGCCCTGCACACACTTGCACTAATCTTGCCTGAGCCAATGCCTAGACTTTGGCTTATCGAGCCAATTAATTATTCTGGCATGCAGGAGACCTAGGTTTGAAACCTGTCAGTCACACAGACCAGTGGTGTAGCCTCAAAGCAGAGCAGTTCCCTCCATCCATCCATACACCCCACCACACCACATTCTCCTGAGCCCTGACTGGTAGTACTGACCCAGGGCCCAGGGCAGCCCTGTCTCCTGGTATTGACCCAGGGGTGGTTGTCTCCCCTCAGGTCTCCTCGGCGGGGGGTTCCCAATCCAAAGACGGCCAGGGCAAAGTGAGTCCCTACCATCGGCATCATCACACACCCCTTGCTCATTCTCACCCATGTGCTCAACCACTCTCTCTCCTCCGATATCACACTGAAGGAAATTACATAAGTGGAGCTTTTTTGTCCACTGACTATTTGAACCTATCTGTACATGCAGAAACACATACAGACACATCGCACACTCCCACTCTAACATACTCACAGTCATGCACATCCTCACCTTTTCTTCCTCTTCATGATAGACTGTTGCTTTCCGGTATAAAATGTGAATGGTTGTGGACAGTGTACTCCAAGTCTCTGTCTCCCCTGAAATGCACAGCTTAACTGACAGACAGAAAGAAAAACAGACAGAGAGGAGATGACCTTGCCATCATCCACCTGACCTCTACAACCATGGCACTACCCATCCCAGTTATTTGGCACAGAAACCTCATGAACCTCCTCATGAAATAACACCACAGTGACCATTGTCCTGCGCTTGTCCTCCCACCTGGTACATTTAGAAGAGCCCTGAGCTTGAGTATTTGAGAGTGTGTTGTGTTTACATTTACATTTACATTTACGTCATTTAGCAGACGCTCTTATCCAGAGCGACTTACAAATTGGTGCATTCACCTAATAGCCAGTGGGATAACCACTTTACAATATGTATTTTTTTTTTTTTCTTTGGGGTGGGGTAAGGGGGGGTAGAAGGATTACTTTATCCTATCCCAGGGATTCCTTAAAGAGGTGGGGTTTCAAGTGTCTCCGGAAGGTGGTGAGTGACTCCGCTGTCCTGGCGTCGTGAGGGAGCTTGTTCCACCATTGGGGAGCCAGAGCAACGAACAGTTTTGACTGGGCTGAGCGGGAACTGTGCTTCCGCAGAGGTAGGGGGGCCAGCAGGCCAGTGGTGGATGAACGCAATGCCCTCGTTTGGGTGTAGGGACTGATCAGAGCCTGAAGGTACGGAGGTGCCGTTCCCCTCACAGCTCAGTAGGCAAGCACCATGGTCTTGTAGCAGATGCGAGCTTCAACTGGAAGCCAGTGGAGTGTGTGGAGGAGCGGGGTGACGTGAGAGAACTTGGGAAGGTTGAACACCAGACGGGCTGCGGCATTCTGGATGAGTTGTAGGGGTTTAATGGCACAGGTAGGGAGCCCAGCCAACAGCGAGTTGCAGTAATCCAGACGGGAGATGACAAGTGCCTGGATTAGGACCTGTGCCACTTGCTGTGTAAGGCAGGGTCGTACTCTCCGAATGTTGTAGAGCATGAACCTACAGGATCGGGTTACCGCCTTGATGTTAGCGGAGAACGACAGGGTGTTATTATTAATTAATTATTATTAATCTGGGTTTACTTTTACGTAATTTACCCTAAACCTATTTTACAGTCCTATTAGTATGATTCAATTAAGGATTATAATGGTAAGATAAGCAATTCAGAAACAACCAACTGGGCACAGACATAATTTCAACATCTAGTTTTGATTTACATTTGGTTGAGATGTCAAGTAATGTGAATTTCAATGTGAAATCAACAAAAAATGTCACCATGTCATTGGATTTAGGTTCAAATATGAAACTTTTTTTGCAAATTCAATCAGTTCTCCACGTTGATTCAACGTCATCAGATGTTATTTTTTGGTTGAAATGACGTGGAAACAACGTTGATGCAACCAGTTTTTGTCCTGTGGGAAGCACTTGCTGCTGTCTTCTCATCAGCTGAGTGATATAGCAGAGAAGCCTCTGGTTATCCAACACCTGTGAGTTGAGTTCAGTAAGAAATGAGCTGGAGGCAGTGTGAGCAAGCAGTTGGAAATAACAGACCTTGGCTGTGGCCTTGTGTTTTAGAGGGTGACTCAGCCTGTCTGCGCTGCTAACTGCGTCACAGAGCCTCAAACTAATCTAAACACCAGGCATCTCAGTATACAAAGCAAAAAGGAAATGGAGAAAACAGATTAGTGCTTTTCATTCAAGGTTTTTGAACAGCAGTTCCGTTCCTTCGCAGAGTGACGATGTTTTGAAATCAGCATTTGATATCAGGGAAGAGATGGCTGGCTAGCGTGCATGTGCGTGTGTGTGTATTCTTTTTGTTCATAAACACTGCTATAGTTATCTACTTTGATCAGCCACATCTAGAATTGGATGATATTTGAGGTAATTTGCAGCATTCTGACTGTTGTGTGACTGACTTTACTTACTATGTGTAAGAATGAGTTAACAACATACTGTATGCTCTTTAGATTGCTTTCACTTTTCATCCTGGCTGCTCCTCCACCACCCTCCACTAATTCTAGACTCACCATAGTGAACCGTTCCCTCTGCTACTGTGCTTCTTTGTAGGTTATGATAGTCCACAAAAAACTGGACTTCAGCCATATCACCTCCCGCTGTGGCTCCAAGGATAATATCAAGCATGTCCCTGGTGGAGGGAATGTAAGTACAACACATGGGGCTCCCATATGGCTGCTGACTCTTTCCCCATATCCCACTGACATGCTCGATTGGACTGAAAGGAAGTCAGCCCCATTTGTAATAGAGTAAAGTACTAACGTTCTCGTCATTCTAATTCTATGGTCAGCCCCATTGGCCAGCCTAGATATAATGTTAGGTCCGAGTGCTGTGCTGTTTGTGCAAACTGTCTCACCCAACTAACCAGCTTAAGAGATACTAGCTTTCTATTTGCCTCTTTCACTCTCTTTTACATTGCAACAAGTATGACATTTCCTTATTAAGTGACAACAAAATCTATTTAAATGGATACTTAAAATGCCCACTTCTCCACTTTACACTAGAGTACTCAGCTTTTTCTTTTTCCAAATGTCATAATCAGTGTTATACTGATGGGTGAGAATGATTCAAGGCATTGTGTGAGAATTTCAGAGTGGGTGTTGTTTCATCTTTGCCATTCATACTTCAACGTTTGTGTTGTTTGTTTGGGTGCATTCAGGTCCAGATTCAGCATAAGAAGGTGGACTTGAGCAAAGTGACCTCCAAGTGTGGCTCTAAGGACAACATCAAGCACAAGCCAGGTAGACGTCTTATGATTTAGGAAATAATGCTTGCATCCTAAATGGCACCCTATTCCCTACATAGTGCAGTACTTTTGACCAGAGCGTCATTGGCCCTGCTCAAAAAAAGAGTGGACTGTATAGGGAATAGGGTTCCATTTGGGAAGCATCCTATACCAAATGAATTCTCTTCTTACGCCACTTGTAACTAAGGTGTTCCCACTACAGGGGGTGGAGATTTGAAGATTGAGGCTAAGGCCAATGGCAAGCCCAAGGTGGGGTCAATGGACAATATTGGCCTTGAGGCAGATGGTGGACAAAACAAGGTAAGGTCACATTTTTTGTCATTTAGCAGACGCTCTTATCCAGAGCGACTTACAGTTAGTGCATACATTTTCATACTGGCTCCCCGTGGGAATCGAACCCACAACCCTGGCGTTGCAAGCACCATGCTCTACCAACTGAGCTACACGGGACCATTCTCTTGTAGTCACATAGCCATTTAAATTTTTTACCTAACCAGGATTTGGTCTGTTTGAGGTTGTGGTGGTGGAAACATGTTATTTGAACATGATGGTTGCCTACATACAGAGAGCAATTTCATCCTGTTAAAACAAGCCGTGTCATCATGCTCTAACCTGTTTTTCCACTAGATGGCATTAATGAATACCCAGCCTTTCATAGCAACACAACCTATAAAGAAAAGATCATTGAATTTATAGGAATTTATACACACTTTTTAAATTAACCTGTGTGTATCAGATTCTCATGTCTAAAACCCTGCTGCTAACGTGTTTCCAGGCTGGAGGGATGCAGGAGAAAGCTGAGGGGAAAACATCTCCCCCTGGTGGAGCTCCAACCACAGGTGCAGGAAGCATGGCTAAGGAGAACGGACATAAGGAGGCCACGCCTCATCCAAATCCCTTTGCGGGTGATGGGCTGCGGGACCCGATAGGCTTGGGCATGGACAAACGTATCCCAGAGACAAGTAGGTGCCTCTTGCCCCAACAAACACCCTGTGGTCTTTCTCAAATCTCACTTTCACTGTCATGCAATCTCAGAGCATTAACTTTGAGATGACCTCCGTTGCCTGTCTCACGTTGCTTATTGGGTTTCATGTCACTGCTGAGTGCTCAGATGATAGATAACTGATTGTTGTGAAGTAGGCTAGTTTTTTGCCTCCTGCAAATACTGTATTCAAAAAATGTGTATGTTATTTTATGCCATTAGTCTAACCAGTTAACTCCCTCCTCTACTCTTTCTCCTCCCCTTTTCTCCACTGCTTCCTGTGTCCCACTCTGTTTATCTGCCTGCAGATTGAGTCTTGCAAGCTGAGCTTTCGCAAGAGTGCACGGGCTCGCACGAACCACGGCGCCGACATCATCTCCCGGCCCACCCCGATTGGCAGCCACCCCTCACCCTCATCGCAGCACCTCTCTCAGTGTTTCTCTGGGGTCCGCCAGCTTTCTCCTCCACACCCTCCAGCTCCAACCCAGCCCCTTGTCACCCAGCCATGGGCCAGGGGGAAAACTACTGAATGCTAGCAAGACAAGGACTTATTTAGCACATTCCAACTTACTTCAGCACCTTCCTTTTACCTTTTACCTCTCCTTTTACCATACAGTATCTCATCACTACTCTCTATCCTTGTGGAATATCTGTCCTAGTCTTCTGGTCTCAGAGGAGCCAGTATTAAAGTATAAAGACCAGAGTTCAAACAGATAGAGCAAGCTCTTACTGTACAGTGGGATTTGGTCTCTTCTGGATTGCCCTGGCTTAACTTGCTGTGATAAAAGGGGAGTAGTATGACCTCAGAGTGAACCTTCTAGAATCTAGACCCTCAGTGTTCTGTTATAGTTATGTCAGCGCAGAGTGAAACTTATTATACTGCCTGCTTCTTTTGTTCCAGCCTATAAGCACTGTTCTTATACGTAGTGCCACCTCGATCAAAATCACAAACACCTACAGTGTCACACTGTATATTAGTACGTATTTTACGTCAGAGACCATCACAATGAGCCAATGCTATCTATGTGACAGGCCTTACCCTAGACGTAACACCTTCCTTACTGTACCTATTTCTCTGGATGAGCATAACTCCCCTTGTACTGTAGGGACCCCAGATTTCACTTGAGGTGTATACAGTACATTATACTATGGCGATTAGTGAAGCACCCCTTATTGTGAGCATGTGGGATTGTCATGTCATCCCAATGAACAGGGGCTAATATGCCACCCCCTCTCTTAACCAATACAGTATGTCTAGATAACCCTTTGTAAACTTGTGATTCCCCCACAGCACTCTCAACAATAAGAAACTAGTAGGCTGTTACAAACAGTAGGATATTTAACATCTCTTTAAAAAAACGGTATTGTGTTTTCGTAAATTATTGTAACAATGAGCTGATGTGTTGTTATGTTGTTTCTTCATAATATACCCTTTTTCCTTTTACTGTTGCATCTCTCTGAAAGCAATACAGTGAGTGGTCTTTGCTGAGGATACAACTTCCTCATACACACCCGTCCCTGCACATGTGAACTACGGTACGGTACAGTCAGAGAGAGAGAGAGAGACAAACCCACTCAGGGTCTGTGCACAGAGACTGGATGCCTGGGACAGGACAAAATAGTATGCAGGAGGCAGCAAAGAGAGTGAGGAAAGGCCTATGATTGCACCAGGGGAGTGAAGATACTCCAGTGCCGTTTGTGTTGTCCCCCACTGATCAAGTCTCTGTAGTGTTGGCCAAATCGTTGGGACAGGGAAGACGAATAGAAAGCCATGTTGAAGGAAAGCAAGATTTAGATAGATAGATTTAACAATATTATCACAATTTTATCACAAAAGTCAATATCAAGAGAAGTTTGTGAAGAAGAAACATCTCCAATCTAACAATTGTGTATTTTCAGTCTTCTCAACTACTCCACTGTTAAATATGAATCAGTTTGAATGGCTGCTTATGCTATTGGTTCCACTGTAAAAAGTGACATTATTGTGTAACAATGGGGCACAATTGCTTAACAAAGAAGCTAATTACTCTGATTAACTTGCTGTCGGTTTTGTAAAGAGGTTGGCGGAATTGTATAACATTACTTGAACGATCTTTGGGATGGGCTCATTTTGTGATCAACATTTAGGCATGTCTGTGGAGTTTGTCAGATTTGTGGTATGTTGCTGAATCAAGGTCGAGGGCACCCCATTGCCTTTAAAATACTGGTAGTTTGGCTCTTAGAGTACAAAAATGGCACCTTCTTTTGGGGACACACTACTCCAACAAGAAGGATAATGGCCCCAGATATTAATGTGTAATTGTGCCTTGTAGATTCTCAAGGCTGAACCAGATCTCTCAAAGGATATATAAATCTGAAGCATCCCTGTAGAACTTCTCACCACCAAATATTGTGATGAGAGGAAGTCCAGTGGCGGGAGGTGGGAGAAGGTGGAGCTAGATTAAACTTCTGCTAATTGACTCATAGATTAAACATTCGATCTCCACCAAAATCTCCAAAACTAAAATCTGTTAAGAACAGAGTAGACTACGTTTTTTAGACATGACCTTTTCTAAAAAATGGCATTGTTTAGAAGGATTGCAACGGCAAATTGAGTAATTGCACAAGCGCAACTTCACACAGTAGGAATTCTCTAATGAAAATATGCAAATACATGCTAGAATGCACCAATAGGATCTCGCTAGCTCGTGCTTGGCTCTGCCCACCTCTTTGCTTGTTCTACTCAATATGCTTCATTTGCTCCCATTGGAAACAACACCGGTGGTATATCTTGGGTTAGTTATAAAAATGTTTTGGCGAAACTGTAACAGGTGTACAGTTCCCAAAAAGTGATCTTTGTGTCCCACCCTAAAACACTTTTACTTTGATTTATTTTTATGTACTGTAATGATATGATGCTGCTTGATGTCGGTAAGGCGTAATTTGAATTTATTTGAGTGTGTGCACTGCAGTGGAGGAAATAATAGTGATCATCAATGGCAGAGATAATCAAAGAGCAAGTGATCAAATTATTGAGAATGAAAGAAAAAGCACCTTATGATATTTACAAAGTATTCTTTCCCCCCAACATTCCCATGGTTAGTTAAACAACTGGAATGAATTGAATTCTTCCTGAAGAATAAGTCTTACACTGATGAAAGCACTTTGAATGCACAGTGGTATGTACATTTTATGTTTGAGCTCTACAGTATGTTTGAACTGTTGGCATGATTGGATGAACAGATTTGTCTTTTAGTCTCCTTGGTGGTAACCTTGCTCACTGGTCATGTTAGTGGACTTTGGTGTCGTGCTTTGGGACGATGGTCACTCACTCTGTCTGTTCTCCTTGTGCCTGTTAGACGTCACGTTTATTAACACTCACCTTTCCAACGCTTAACCACTGCTTGCAACTCCATCCTTTCACCTCACACAGTCGTTTGTAAATAGACATCCACATGTTTTTATCACCACAGGGGGAAAAAATAGTTATTGATATTAGGGTCTTTATGGATGTTGAGAAATGTCTTTCACATTCATGAACCCATTTTCAGAGAGTGTTTTCTTTCTGGAGTCTGCCTTTTTTCAGAAAGGGCTGAAGTACAAGAATGTTTTTAAAATGAAATGTATTAAAGATGCAAGATATGAATATCATATGTATGAACTTTTTGTTTTGTTTTAAAAATCACAATAGGACACATACTAAGGCCTAGATTCAATCAGATCAAGCGTTAACCGGCGATAGCAGACACCTGCATAGCGGATGTTTTGGTGGTGTCGGAGGTGGAACTGCGTTGAAGCTGCTCTTGCGATCATTATCACGACGCCACACCTGCCCCCCCACTCATATTAGAAGTTCAGAGAGGGGATGTGTAGGCTATATATATATAAATAATTACGCTCAAATAAAAAATCTTTCAACGAAATGAGGATTTCCATCATCCTAATCGAGGTGTAGATTACATCACATTCCAGTGTTTGAACTTGTAAACTGCATGGGATTTCTGTTAATAATGTGACTGTGCAGCCAATGGCAATGTCCGCCTTAGGTATAATGCCGGGAGCCACTTGTGGATTTGACTGCTCTAACGCAGTTCCACCTCCGACGCTATGCGGATGTCCGCTAAAGCGCATCTGATTGAATAGAGCCCTAAATCTAAATTTGACTTGACAGTAGGAAGTGTGTGTCGAGTCTAGTATGGGGACAGCAGCAGACTGAATAGTTTCAGTATTCAGCGATGGTTAGCATCTCAATGGTTGGTCTAGGTGTGCTATTACTAACTCCAACTCTGTAGAGGAAAACATTTACTGATATTTGCTTGAATAAACTAACACTTTTATCTGCCTCTTACACTTAGGCCTATACTCACTATATGTTAGAAATCTACAAGGAACGAAGAATAATCCGATGTCATGCTTATTCTTCCAAATGTTTTGTGTCACTGGTGAGCTGACCGAGTGCCCAACTGTAATCAGGAACCAGGCATTGTGAGGATAGGTTGAAGGTCATGCTCCCACATGCGGCACCTGACACACACAGCCCTTGAATGTTGTCCAGACTAACAATAACTGTCTTTTGGCATGTGTTATGTAGTGTGCTTCTGTAAAGCATCAAGAAGCCCATAGCTGTGCTTCTTCTTAGAGCACACCTGTAGTGTGTATTATTCTCCATAGTGCACACCATAAGAGCATGCAGAAGACAATGGATTGTAGACATCTGTCATAGAAAGGTGTTCACTGTTTCCCCTTCGATTTGAGATGTAATTTGGTATGAAAGAGATGTTCATTGTGATTAATTGTTAACTAGTGATGTGAATATTAATCATTAAATAAAAGACAAGAAAAACATTTGAGTTTCCTTTTCTACTTAATTCTCTTTTGTGTATAACTGTATATACAGTGGGGAAAAAAAGTATTTAGTCAGCCACCAATTGTGCAAGTTCTCCCACTTAAAAAGATGAGAGGCCTGTAATTTTCATCATAGGTACACGTCAACTATGACAGACAAATTGAGAAAAAAAAATCCAGAAAATCACATTGTAGGATTTTTTATGAATTTATTTGTAAATTATGGTGGAAAATAAGTATTTGGTCACCTACAAAAAAGCAAGATTTCTGGCTCTCACAGACCTGTAACTTCTTCTTTAAGAGGCTCCTCTGTCCTCAACTCGTTACCTGTATTAATGGCACCTGTTTGAACTTGTTATCAGTATAAAAGACACCTGTCCACAACCTCAAACAGTCACACTCCAAACTCCACTATGGCCAAGACCAAAGAGCTGTCAAAGGACACCAGAAACAAAATTGTAGACCTGCACCAGGCTGGGAAGACTGAATCTGCAATAGGTACGCAGCTTGGTTTGAAGAAATCAACTGTGGGAGCAATTATTAGGAAATGGAAGACATACAAGACCACTGATAATCTCCCTCGATCTGGGGCTCCACGCAAGATCTCACCCCGTGGGGTCAAAATGATCACAAGAACGGTGAGCAAAAATCCCAGAACCACACGGGGGGACCTAGTGAATGACCTGCAGAGAACTGGGACCAAAG